TTCTTCTTCTTGTTCTTCTTCTTGTTCTTCTTCTTCTTCTTCTTCTTCTTCTTCTTCTTCTTCTTCTTCTTCTTCTTCTTCTTCTTCTTCTTCTTCTTTTTCTTCTCCAACAGAGAACAGACTTAATTTTTATTGGTTATGTGTGTGAATGTTTTGCCTGAATGTATGGCTGTACCCTATGCAGGTGCAGTGCCTGTGGACTGGAGTTACAGATGGTTGTGAGCCATCATGTGCATGCTGGGAATCAAACCCGGGTTCTCAAAAAGAGCAGCCAGTGCTCTTAGTCACTCAGCCATTGCCCGGGCCCCTTTAGTCCTTTTTTTTTTTCCTGTCTTCCGTCTGACTGAGATGCTGTTTGGTCATTTCTTCATTGTTATGACAAATAACCAAGAGAAACCATTTAAAAGGGGGAAAAGCTATATTTGCCTCATAGTTTTGGGTCTTAGTCCAAAGTCAGCGGGTTTCATTGCTTTGGGCCTGAGGGGAGACAGACTGTTTGGCAGAGAGAACACGTGGAAGAGGCCAGGAAGCAAGGCCCCCAGCAACTTCCTTCCTCCCGTCAGGCTCCATGTTGAAATTTTCTACTGCTTCCCACTGATGCCATCAAACAGGAATCCATCAGTGAGTTAGTCCACGGATGACATCAGATCCTTCCTGACGCCATCACTTCTCGGTAACTGCATCCACCAGCCAGGCCCCAAGCCTTGAACACATGAGTTTTTAAGGGGTGCCTATTCAAACCATAACAGACAGCTGGCGGTCCTGTAGCCCCCCTAGCTGACGTTTGTTTATCAAACGTGCAGACTGCCTCTTAGAAAAGGCTTTCCTCTGCATTGGTGTTAGTCACGTTCTCTAGAGGAACAGAACCAAAAGGATGGGTTCAGGGCTTTGTAACAGGTCTATTTGTTGTAACAGGAACACTATTGCTGGGCGGTGGTGGCGCACGCCTTTAATCCCAGCACTCGGGAGGCAGAGCCAGGCGGATCTCTGTGAGTTTGAGGCCAGCCTGGGCTACCAAGTGAGTTCCAGGAAAGGTGTAAAGCTACGCAGAGAGACCCTGTCTCGAAAAACAAAACAAAACAAAACAAAAAAACCCAGGAACACTATTAAAGCATGGGCAGATTAGAGAAACTGGAAGCCTTATGAAAAGGGCAACCAGGAATGCAAACTGTAGCCAAACTGGACTCCACCGATGGCCTCTAAGTTCGTGGAGAGTCACCGGTGTGAGTCTGCATTCTAAGGCTGGAGAAGCAGCAACAGAGCACACACTCTAGAGGAGCTAAGCTTGGGCCAATGAGGTGGCTCATTAGGTAAAGGTGCTTCCTGCCCAGACATGCATTTGACCTGGGTTCAAACCCTGGAACTCGCAGGAGAGTGGAAGGAGAGTGTAGACTGAAGTTTCTCAGTCCTGCCTGCCCGGTCCCACCCAGGCAGCAGCCTGTAGTCTTATCTATGTTTAGCCACGTGGCTTGGTACCTTTTATCAGTTCTGCTTTGACATCTTGCTTCCTCTGTGTCTGGCTGGTGACTCCTGACTCAGCCTTTCCTCTTCCCAGAATTCTCCTCGTCTGCTTGCTCCACCTATACTTCCTGCCTGGCTACTGGTCAATCAATGTTTTATTAAACCAGTGTACAAAGGCATTATCCCACAGCAGCAGCCAGTTTGTTTATAAAATAACCACTCAGAGGCTTAATATTAATTTCAAACTATTTGGTCTATGGCTCAGGCTTCTTGCTAGCTAGCTCTTTCATCTCAAATTAACTCATTTCTATTCATCTATGTTTTGCCATGTGGCTGTGGCATTATCGGTCTGTTGGCATGTCGCTCCTTGAGTGGTGGGTGCCATCTGCTCTGACTCCGCCCTCTTCTCCCTGAATCTCTCTTGTATTTCTCCTGCCTGCTTCTTATCCTGCCTTACAAAACAGGGCAAAACAGCTTCTTTATTAACCAATAGTAGCAACACATATTCACAGCGTACAGAAAGACCATCCCACAGGAAAGAGAATTGACTCTACAAAGTTTTTACTTCTTTGTTTTCTTTTTCTTTCTTTTCTTTCCATTTTATTTTATTTTAAGATTTATTTATTTATGTATACAGCATATGTGACTGAAGGCCAGAAGAGGGCACCAGATCTCATTACAGGTGGTTGTGAGCCACCATGTGGATGCTGGGAATTGAACTCAGGACCTCTGGAAGAGCAGTCAGTGCTCTTAACCTCTGAGCCATCTCTCCAGCCCCATCCATTTTATTTTTTATGTGCATTGGTGTTTTGCCTGCATGTAGGCTTTGTGAAGAGGATATTGGATCTGGAACTGGAGTTAAAGACAATTGTGATCTGCCATGTGGGTGCTGGGAATTGAACCTGGGTCTTCCGGAAGAGCCACTAGTATTCTTAATCACAGAGCCAACTCTCCAGCCCCAAGATGCTTTGATACATGCAGATATCATAGCCACAACATTTTACCTTCTATATCCCATGATTCCCCTGCCTCCGCTTTTGTTTTGAAAGTTGCTGGATGGCTTCCTCTCTACTTCAATTCCATGGAGGCCCAGCCTATCAGATGGTGCTGCCTGCACTCAGGGTGGGCCTTTCCTCCTTCAGTTCTCAGGAAATGACTTCACCGTCACACTCAGAAGTGTGCTTTACCAACCTTCTCAGCATCTGTCCATCTGTTGAGACGATGGACCATCAAACCATCTTTTC